AGTCACTTCCCTGCCATACAGTGTAATATTCATGAATTTATTGTTCAAACATTTTCTGCTTTCATTTAAAACCCTACATTGTGGAGTTTATTTTAATTTGATTGTTTTAAAAAAAAAACCATTCTGGACTGAAAAATCCCTAAAGCAGCTTTTTCTTCCAATTTTTTTTTTTTTTTTAAAGAGAATTTGCTTTTTTAAGATGGGAACAATTTGCACTGACAACATAATACCACTCTCAGAAACATAATTTAGAATTGGATTTTGAGGATTTCCTACCTAAAGTTGGAAAGAAATACGTGATAATGTATTTCTAGAACACTCTCCTGTCACCTTTTACCAAACTGCTGAGGTCAGTAAATATAATGACATTTAGGAATTGCCATGGGAAGAAATCAGTGAAACTACTTAGACAATATTCCATTTTTCTTATGAAGATGGACTCTAGGGGAGTTTGGTTTGGGTTTTTTTGTTTGTTTGTTTATTTTGGTGGTTGTTTTGTTTTTAAATAATACAATCATAAGACAACTGAATTATTTTGGACAGGCAGCTGCTGCAGGTTTTTGGTCAAGACACTGCAAGTCTAAACTCACAACCAAACTAACATTAAACTGTGTTAATTTATAGCCAGTATTGCACATTTCCCTTCCAGTCTGTAGGTTTTACAATCACCACGTGAAAATTAGGTAAGTACTCAACAAAGCAACCCAAAAATAATGTTCTCCTATGAAAATACAACTCAATTTAATTATGCCTCATTTTCCTTTTTAATGATACATATATTACCATACATATTTTCTGGTTGCCCCTGTATTTTTAAAGCCATCAAATGCAGTATTTATATGGAATCTTTTGGAGCTCAGGGGGGTGTTTTCCCATTTTCCTGTGTACAGCTCTAAGGGAGAATTTTCCAAACTGAACAAAATGAACTCAAGGTCATTATTCTGCTCATTTCCTCCCTTGATTCATGTTCAGAGCCAGGTTTTCAAAGGCTGAAGAGTGATGCCACTTGGTGAGGAGCATGACCAGGAGGAGAAAAAGGAGTCCAGACATAACCACTGATATTCCAGAGATGATAATTCAGCTTGGAGGAATGGCCTCAGGCTCTGGGAGGGTTGAAGCAAAACCTGCCAGCACCATTGTCTGGATGGACTTTTTTGACTTTCTCATTTCTGAGCTGATAAGAGATTTTTGTATCTTCTAAGAGACATCTCACCTTTCACATTCAAATGAAAAATGGTGCTTTGGTTGGGAGCACTAAACATTGAAAATTCACCTGAGATGAATTTCTGCTGGCAATAGACAATACCACGTACCTGGGTGTGAAGTGCCAACCTTCAGAGCTCACCACTGCTCCCAGAAACTGCTGGAAAAGCAGCTCTGAGATGAAAACAAAGCAGCTTTGAAGCAAACTTGGCTCTGTTGGCCACTCCTCGCTGCCCTGCAAGCCTCTCACATCCCACAAAGGGAGCAGTAGAAGTCTGCTCCCAAGTATTTACTGCCAGAGGTTTTGGCCAGCCCCAAAAAACCACAGTGTGTGCTGCTAACCCAGAGTCACACAGTTCCACCCTGGGAGAGCTGCTGGGAATTGGAGAGACACAGCATAATTCAAATCCTGCTTTGTGACAGAGGGGCTGCTGCTGCTCTCTCTCTCTCTCTCTGTCAGCTCAAAATTCAGGGTTTTTTTTTCTTACTAACTCTTCACAATAGTGGTTGGGTGGTTGGATAGACAGTTGGACCTGTGGTTTTCCTGGTTTGGTTATTTTTGTAGTGATTTTTTCACAGAGGAAGCACCAAACTGGGGTGATATTTTAGATACAGCTGTGATATGAAGATACAGAAACACATAAAGGGGAAGATGATGTCAATGTGAGAGTGTGAATGTTATTACAAAACCAGGTATTTTTGTGACAGAGCATCACAGATCACTAATAATGTGTTTGTTTTCTGCAGTTCTGTGACATGATTGCTCCAGTGGTGACAGGGAGGACATGAAATAATAAAAGGTTTTTTTTGTGTGTCACAGGCTGCCTGACACTCAGAACCCTCAGCAGGAGGAAGGAATTTAATGTATATTCCTGCTTTCTTCCTGGAAACACTACACAAGGGTTCAGCATTCCACCTTCACCACGATGAATGACAGAGATTTTCCTGCACAGTCCAAGCACAGTGCCACAGGAGGTCAGTGAAACAGCTTAAACCAGAGGTTTAATCAATCAATCAATCTCAGAGGAATGGTTGGGTTTGGACACTGTCAGAGCCCTGCTCCTTTATTTTGGGGGATGTGAGCTGAACTTAGACATTACAATATATCCTATATTATATATTATAGATATATTATAGATATATTATATTATATTATATTATATTATATTATATTATATTATATTATATTATATTATATTTATTATATTATATTATATTATATTATATTATATGATATTATATTAATATAGAAGCAGATAGATCGATATAAATATATATAGAAGCTCAATATAAGTATATATATCTATATTGTTATAATATAATATAATATATATTATATATAATATAATATATCATGTAATATATCATATATGATAGATATAATAACATATATTATATAATATATAATATATAATATATTTTACATAATATATATTACATAATATATATTACATAATATATAATATATAATATATAATATATAATATATAATATATAATATATAATATATAATATATAATTTATAATATATAATATATAATATATAATATATAATATATAATATATAATATATAATATATAATATATAATATATAATATATAATATATAACATATAACATATAACATATAACATATAACATATAACATATAATATATAATATATAATATATAATATATAACATATAACATATAACATATAATATATAATATATAATATGTAATATAAAAATTATATGTTGTATGTTATATGTTATATTATAATATAAATAATAAAATTTTTTTCTATTATTTTTTATCATATTATTATGTATATATGTTATATATATTATATATTATATATTATTTCCAGCCCTGGAAATAGAGTGATTTCCTCCTGGAGCAGGTTGGCAGCAGGGGCAGGCCCAGCCCAGGTTCCCCCCAGCTGCTGCCCCTGCTCTGGGTACAGCAGCTCCAGTGCTCCCACACAGCTGGGTGCACACTGTTCTTCCACAGCTGAAACACAAGTTTTTGTCATTTCCACACATGCCAGGCTGAATTTTAGCTGTCATTGTGCATTGGGTCACTCCCTGCTCCTTGTCTGAGCCAGGCAAGCACCGTGGTCCTCTGCAGGAGCTTCCAGAGCTGCCCCTTTGAGGTATCCCAGAGCATTTTCCTGTAAAACCTGACCCAAAAATGTTCATGTCTGAGCAAGAGGCACAGCAGGAGCAGCCTCAGAAAGATGCTGGCTCTCTGGGGATGAAATTCTGGCTTTGGGCAGCTGCTTCAGGTGATCTTTATTTTAATATTTTGTGGATTAGGGCTTTTTAAAACCCATGTGCACCCTTCTAAAAGTCAGACTGTCTCGATGACATCACTCAGATTTGCTTTTTTGCGCAGGTATTGGATCCTCACACATAGCATTTCATCAAGGAGACGTATCTGCAGGCAATGTGGCAGCTGCTCCCTGGCTCCTGCAGCCTGCAAAGCTTTATTTGGGTCATGCAGAGTGTCTTTCCTTCCCCTTGAAGCAGGTAAAATATCTGCTGCTTCTGACAGCCAGAGAGAGCACCAGGAAAGTGAAGCTATTTTAGAAGGGAAATTGTAAATGAAGAAGTTTGCAGAGTACATTTCTAATCACCTCCAGGCAGTGCTAAAGCTAAATTCAGCTCTCACTTGGCACCAGTGGAACTCCTCTGATCCTAATGTGGGTCACTGCATCCCAGCCATGGAAATGTCCCTGCACAGGAGCACTCCCCATCCCCAAAAACCTGGAGAGGGATTAGCTCTGTGTTACACCTTTGTGGAGCTAAACCTGCAGCCCTCAGGCCGCTCTCTGGTGAGAATGAAATTGGCTTTCAAAGTTTTTTGCAGATGATGGTGATCACTGGTTCTGGCAACATTCCAGCAGGAGGGTGTTTTGCTCTCAAGATTCCATAAAATTAGAAAAATCCCAGTTAGAAGTAAATCCAAGTTCTGTCTCACTTACTTGCAATTAGAATTATGCAAAATCAATATTAATGGTTGGCAACTGCTGGTGCTCACAATAAATCAATATTACTAACTGGAGGACTTCTATAGTTCTGAAATGTACATTTCTTATAGGGAAAAAAAAATAGAATTAAAAAATACTGCTGAAGTTTCTGATGCAGAAAAAAACCCCTTAAACTGCAAAATCCCTTTGGTGTGATGGAGTATCCAGAATAGCAGCTTCCCAAATAAAGCTTTTCTCTCCAGCCTGTGCTGTGTGGGTGGCAGCTTGGTGTGCTCCTCGCTGTTCTGAGGCTGCTACGTTCCAAATGCAACCAGAGCTCTCAGGGCTTCATGTTGGGTTGAACAAAAAGCTACAAACCATAAACAAATCTACGTCTTCTTCCTCCTGAGGCACTGAGGGTGAACCTGTGAGTGAGAGCAGAGCCCTGTCAAAAAGGTTGAGTTTGATATGTGACTTCTGCAAAATTATTGAGCCTTCCAGGCTGGTGGAATTCATTCCCAAGGGCAGGGCAGATGTTTGCTGAAATATCCACTGGTGACTCCCTGGGAAGTTTGGTAGGACAAATCATTTTGCTAAGGGGTTGCAAGTTGTGAGCCCGTAATAAGAGTGACCCAGTTTCCTATTCCATGACTGAACAATTTGCACAGCTCTAAATATAAAACTGTTGATAACAGATCTGTATTTGTGGGAAAGGGAGGTGCCTCAGGAACTGCACTGGGTAACATGTGTTTCCAGCCACTCCACGAAACTCCCTAATAAAAAGTGATTTGGGCACAGTTCTTGACCTTTTTCATTCCCACATACAAATAAACATCAAAACCCAGGTTGAAATTATAAATATATTTGTGTTGTTTATAATCATGGCACTACACAGTGAAAATCATGTCATTTCATTTTTCTGGAAGGAATTGGAATAGAATAAGACAGTATTGATACAGAATAACCTCTCACTGTCCCGTTTCATTCTGTTCTCAGAAGTAACAATCCAAATAATGGAAGCAGTAAGTGCATTGGAAAAGCTGTGGAGTGAGCAGAAATAAATAAGTGCACACCCAGGGTGAGCCCTGCCAGCCCAGGCAGGGATGCAGAGCTGGTCCCAGGGACAGCCAGGACACAGCCCTGCCCTGCAGCCCCTGCACAGGGATGGAGCTGGAGCTCCTGGGCTTGGCTGAAGGTCTGGGGATCACCAGGAACGTGTCCCTGGCACCCCCAGCCACACAGGGTGATTCCCTCCTCCTGAGCAAGGCAGTGTGTTATCCAAAGAGTGCTTTTTTAAAGAAATAACAGCATTTACAGTAGTTAAACAAATGCTACTTTTTATCAGCTCTAATTACTTTATAAGCATACAGTCCTTAGCTTGCTTATTACTATTTAAGCCCTCACAGCTATTCTAGATAACATTTAAATACACAGAGCTTTAAAAAAATATTTCCATTACAAATATTTTAAAAATATACTTATCCTAAAAAGCTGTCCAGCACTATTCCAAAAATCTCTTGTAATAAACATCTTTTTAAATTTTAACAAAAATATCTACCATCATATAGAAGAGCTCAAGTTTTGACAAATCTATAATACAGTCAAGAAATACATTGGGCCAGATTTCACTTTTGTTTATACAGTTGCCAATTTGGAGCATGGTGTTCATCTGATTTGGGTTATTCCAGTATAACCAGGAGCAGAATATAGCCCTTAGTGCTTTAAAATATCTAAATGGACTGGATGCTGCAACAGTTACTGGTGCCGAGCATTACGGGGAGGGAAATCCTTTACTTCACTACAGCTAAAAATGCAAAAGGATGTTATATTTAGTATTTGTGCCATGACCAAAGAAGTGTCAGGCATCTGCAGTGGATGACTCAGACCCAGAATCATATTCACTTACAGAAATATATATATATTATTTTTTTTTGCTGTGCCTGCAATTGCTGTCGTTAAATGGAGGATGAATGTTTGTGGAGAACTTTTGTAGGGGGAAAATGCCAACCTTCCTCTCATGCTTTCTGCAATTCCAGGAATCATTTTAATTGCATTTTGTGTGAGTTTTAATAGAATCTCCCAGTACTTAGATATAGGAAGGATACTATTTTGAATTGCTTCTGTATTTCAACCAAACATCTCCATTCACCCAGTCCCATTCAAAGTGTATCTAGAATAAGCTTCAAGCACTTATAAGAATCTGCATCTCATCAGGACAATCTGGAAACTCATCTCTTAAAACACTGGAACTTTTTTCTTTATTACTTTCCCCCCCTTTTTCCTTCAACCTTCAAGTTTAAATGCAATGTTTGATTAAGGACCATGGAAATCAAGTCTCAGCTCTGCCGTTCCCACCTGTGACCTAGAAGGGATCCTTACACATTTTAAGTCATGTTTAAAGCTTTTACTCTACTTTTTCTTTTTTCCTCATAGACTTTGGCTGATGATCTGGAAATTGATAAACCGAGGAAATTTAAGGATTTAGACCAAGTTCAGTCCTCACTGTCATCTTCATCGTCATCGTCGTCCTTGCTGGGAGCACACCTTTGGAAGCAGTGCACCAGCGTGGCCAGGAAGAAGCTGGAGAGAATTGCAGCAATGGACACGGCAACTCCAGAGAAAATGATGATAAAAAGGTCTGTCAATGACAAACTGAATTTGCATTCACTAAAGCTGACCTCAGATAACTCGTTCAGAAAGATCCTTCTGTTCTCCACGGGCAGGGAGCACTGGATTTCATGGAGACCTGCAAGGAAGCGGAAGGGGAAACAAATCAGCACACTAATGATGAATTCTTCTGTTGTTCTGGGCCAGAGATTGAAGGGATGAAGAAAAGTTTTAGGGTTAATTCCAGGTTGAAGAAATTGTAAATATTCAGGGGAAAATGGAACAGAACATGCCACTATCCAAAAGCCATTACATAGACCCTTTGAGCAGCTCCTGGAAATTAATTTATATCACCTTCAGCACTCCAGGGATCAGGTGTGATCTAGGACCATGATTTAGAGGAATTAAAAAAGTGAATGTTGAACCCTGGATGCATCTAAACCTGGAGACCTGAAAGCAATTCCCAGCTATTCCATCTGAACACAAACTCTGACTCCAAACCAGGGTAAGAGGGACACTGAGGTTCCTTCCACACCCTTCTACATTACTTTTTTCCATGTAGTTCCAAACTAGAGTTGTTTTTTTCTGGTCAAACAACTCTTTGGGTTTAATGGATGTTTATTTATCTGTGACCTGCTTCCACCTTTTCTCTCTGCCTGTCCTGAGGCCATGCAGACTGACAGATATTGTTCCTCCCTGCATTACTGGAGAATGCTGAGAGCTGGGTTCTTTGTAGGGAAAGCACAAACCCCCAGATTTAAGGAGTGCTGGGAATACAGTCGGATCCTGGACAGTAAAAGCACACAATTCACTGCATATCCCCAGCTCCCTCTTCATTCACCTCGGGGAGCATCAGGAGAGGGCATTAGCAGGGCCAGGATGGAAGCAGCACCGAAGTGAATGAAGTCTGTAGAGCTGCTGGCAAGACAACTTTTGTCTCACTATTAAGGACATGAATATATAGGGGAAATGTAAGAATTGTGTGCTGATGATACCAGCACTGCTGCTGCATTCCTTCATCCACTTCCTCTCTCCTGAAGATCCCAGGCTGTTCTCCCTGCTTTGGGCTCTGCCTTGCTGTGTGCACACAGAATTTGTGGTGTTTCCATCCCACAGCTCTGCCACAGAGCCGTGAGGTCGCTCTGAAGAAGGAATGGTGATGATAAGATTCCCTCTGCATTGATGAATCCAGGTTTTCCTGTAGCTGGATGGATTTCCTGTGGCTGGATGGATTTCCTGTGGCTGGATGGATTTCCTGTGACCATGGCATGTGATGTTTTACTGTTGAACCCAGGCTCCTCGGGTTAATGGTGCTGCCCTGACTGATCAGCCCAGCCCAGCTGCTGTGTTGATTTGAGAAGGAGTTTTAGTTAATTCCTCTGTGGAACCAATTATCACCCTGACCTACTTGACCTTGTAATGACGACTGTATTAAACTCTGATCCCTAAAAGCCATCCCATATCTGTTGTATTTGCCTAAAGTTCTGTGCCTTTCCCTGTTTCTCCTGTTCCCCTGGCTGGGAGCATCCTGAGAGGTGCCCAGCAGTGTTTGCAGTCACCTGCCAGGGCTCAGGGCAAGCTGCTCCCAAAGCCACGCTGCCTTTCCCAAGCCCGGAGCAGCAGATGGTGAACAAGCACAACTTGCTCTGGAGATCTGTGAAACCTCCTGGCATGGAAACTGACCTGGAAGAGAAAGCAGCAACCTTCCCACTGAAACAACTGAGAGCTGGCTCCTTAATCATATTTTAATAATCATATTTTCATTTCAGTAAGACTTGGAAGTAGCAGCTGTAGGCATTAATCAGAGTAAGCAAAACTAGGGACAGATGAATATCCTTCCCTATTCAAAACTGTGAGAAATGAGGGATGAGTGAAAAGCCATAGGCTGGAATTTCAAGACCTGTATTTTTTAAATCAGACTTTAAGAAGCAAAGATTTTTTTTTTCAGTAAATAAATATAATCCTGACAGTAATCAAAGCAGTTGCATGAGTGCATATTGCTTCAGATTTATTTGAAGAGGAATTTCCTTGCTAATAGGAAAAGATCCTAGAGTAAAAAAATCCTGCAGCATTTTGGCAGGAAAACCTGCACCAAGTGAATAAGGCACCTACACAAATTCCATTTCACTTGTAGCAAGCACAAGAAAAAAGAGGTTTCTTTACAACTGTGTTTCTGTAAAAGAAATCAGTCTAACAGGGGCTGAGACCTCCTGAGAACTGCTGTTTTCAGAGAGTCTGAGTCAAGTTCCTCAAAAGAAAGAGGGCACAGGTGACCAGGAGCAACTCTACCTTTTAAAATTTCTGTCCAACTGCAAAAGAAATTCTCAACTGGCAGCATTTAAAATACCTCTGTGCTGGAGTGATGGGATGGAATATCAGATCTATAAAAGGGAGGAGGAAATAAAAAAAAATAGAGTAAAGAAGACTATAAAGGAAAACTCTTGTCCTGAGCAGTTCTGCATTCTTGGCTTTAGAGATAACTTACCAAGGTAGCATTTGCCCAGGATCCCAGACATGGAAAGGAGCTCACTCCTTCATTCCCAACAGCAGCTCTGCCATGGATCAAAGCTGGACCTGTGCACTGTGAGCTCCATTCCTGTCTCCCTGATGCTTTCCCTTTACATCACAACACGCAGAATGCAAACAGCAAAGGATCTGCAACACACCAAGGCACTCAGAGGGTGTTTCTTGTTATGGGAATCACTGTTCTGCAAGGATTTTGAGACTCGTTGTACAATAAGGAGAAATAAAGATGCTCCTCTCCATGTAGCCATGGGTACTGGAATCTAGGTCATGTTCTCAAACCAAATAGATTAGATGGGAATTTGCTGCTTGCTTTATTCTGTGACAGCCCAACCAGCTTCTGTGGCCTTGAGTTTTCAGAGAATTCTTAGTTCTTGGGAATAACAGATGTCAGTAAATGAAATACAGCAGCACAGAGCAGGGGCCAGTGCAGGGTCAGCTCTGGCTCCCAGTGCAGCTTCAGTGCTGTGTGTGCAGCCTCTTCCAAAGGACAGGAACGAGCTGAGCTCTCCCATCCACACACAGGGCACTCCTGAAGCTGTGCTGGAAGCACCAGGCAGTGACTGAGGGAAAGGAAGGTTGATCATTCCATCCTGATGGGTGGATGTTTCCTTGAGTCGTGACTCTGCTGAAAAACCCAGCCCAGCCAAACAGAAGCTTTTCTTTAAACTCCAAAGAGAATTTCGAACAGGCTGTTCATTTGGAACCATCAACAGGAAGAGCAGCAGTTCTGTCTCTGGTGGCACAAGGAATTTCTCCTTCAAGAGCTGATGCAGTGGTTCCAGCTCTTCACCTGAAAATGCCACTGCTTGCAGGTGACACACCTGCTAAAGATGAGAAATGGGCAAACCCATTTCATCCTTCCATGGAAACACAGCCTGGCTTTCCATTCTTTACAAGCAGGCTGTTCTTACACCATGAGAGTCAGAGAGCTGATGGTCTGTGCTCCACCTGTCCTGTTCCATATGTGCCCAGAAACATACCCATCCTTGTTCTTTCCTTGGGCAGGAAGTAATTCCAGGGCATTAAACACCCTCTGCATGAAGGATGAACTAAAGAATGGTGTCTGGAAAGTGATCAGTAACAATTATAGGCTGTAGGGTTTTTTTGCTTTGTGTGATTTTGTTGCATCTAGACTGGCTCAATCAAATCCCTGTCCCCACACACAGCCTGTAGAGGACAGAAGATGCAATTTAACCTCAGAGCTCTGCTTTCACACACTTTTACTTGAATGGTATTAATTTTTATAGTTTGTTTGTGGGGGTTTTCTGTACTTTTATGTTATTTATTTATTCTGTAGAATTTTATTTTTTAAAAGACCAGCCAGGATTCTTGTAAAGGGCATCTCAAAGCAGCTTGGTATTTAGTGCCTGGCTGCAGCAAGAGAGCCTTTGATGACAGTTATATATATCCACCTCATTGCTCACACAACATATTCAAGGAGTTGTTTCTTCATACCAAACAAAACTGTAAATGAAATAACAAGTGTGAGTGTGCTATAAATACACAGCCTGGGTTATTTTGGTCAGGGCCATCCCATTATCTGTAAATGACTCCAGCTGTCCCAAGGACAATGTCACACACCCTGGATCCTTCTGCTATGCCATCAGAAGGAGCAGATGTATTGCACTGATTGCTTTGAAGTGCCAGGCAAGGCACAGGTGCTGGATTTTACACAGGCTTGTCCCAGCTCTGGAAAAATAAGGATGAAAACACAGGTCTGTACCCTGAGGAATAGACTGAGTGTGGGAAAATGCTGGGATTCCAGAACCACAAGGTTAAAAGGAGAGGTGGGTTTTTGAAATGAAGAAAAAGGAAGTGATGCAGGAGGGTTCCAGGTGGAGTTATAGCAATGAAAGTTTCAGAACAATATGACTGTGGATGCCTTATGTTACAGGAGTACAACTCCACCAAGTCCAGCACTTAACCCTGCCAGTAAATTACAGATAATTGGGCTGCTGCTAGATCCTAAAAACCACTTTGAGTTTGTTTCTGTTCAGGATTATGCCCAGGCTGAAATCCCTCTCTGTAAAACTGAACCTCCTGGAAAATGGAAGAAGCTTAAACCTGCATGCAAATAATGAATTATTTCCTTGTAAATTACTGAAAAGGGACCAACAATGCTGTAATGCCCCAAAGTTATAACTGGACTGATCTCACCATCTCAAAACCCCCACAGAGGCCCTGCTTCATCTGAACCCTGCTGGGATTTTGTAGCCATAATCCAGCCACGTTTCTCACAGGTTCTTGTCATCAGGAATTTTTAAACCATCAGGTGCACTGACATTGCTCCTGGTTTTCCCTGGATATATTGACTGCTGCCCTACTGCACTGAGAGTTTTGGTTTATGAGGGCATCGCTTTCTCCAGGTCCACTTGACCCTGTTTTGAAGGACTCCTTGTGTCTTTCTGTCTCTGCTTATTTCTAATCCCTATGCTGAATACATCTGTGATTGGAAAACCTCAGGAATTCATTATCATTTCAATGTTATGGTCTGTCTGTTAGCAGAGATTTCCCAGCTATAATTTTGGATGCTGAGTTAAAAAAAAAAAAAAAAGCAGAAAAGGGAAAAAACAAAACCAAAAACCTCAATTCTTTTGGGGCCTTTCAGAGTTC